GAGGGGGGCCAAACTGGGCAGTTGTTTTGTCAGAGGGGAACATTAAACCAGGTGAAAAAAATAGACAAAGATGATCGCTTTAAAAAAAATACATGATGCAAATAATAGCGCACATCATTAAATCATGATTTATATTTGTTTCAGTAACAGTATTTAATACTAGATTGTGAGTCGGTTGTTTGAGTCAAATACTGTGTATGTGTTATTGGGGGGGCTCTCTATTTTGGGAGGGTGGCACTGACCCTGCTGGCCCTGCTAGAACCGCCCTTTGTCAGGTCGCTTTTCGACTCGACTGTGTTTATATGGTCGTCAGCAGTTGTTGTAATGCACTAGGTTTGACCAGCAGGGGGCGCCAGTTGCCCTCTCAGTCTCATTGTTTGCGGCTCATTGCTGCGCTGCACCGCCAGGCGGACGGAGAGACGGGTCAGAGGAAATGGCGGACGGTGTAGATCACATCGATATCTACGCCGACGTAGAGGAGGAATTCAGCCAGGTAATAAACACATGTACACGCAGATATTTACTCAGGATGATTTACTCGAGATATTTGCGATATTTCCTTGTATGCAATGTGACGGGGAGTTGTACGGTCGTTGACATAACTAGTCCTCTGTCGTAAAGGAGACTCCCCCCCCCCCCATGCTGCAAGCCTGCATCTTGTGCTTCACTTATCGACTCGAAATGTTGTATCTGCGGCACTTCTCGACATTTAACACAACCAACGCTGCGTGCAGAAATTAATTTGTAATGTTTGAAGCTATACTAAGACTTAAAGTAAGTGGTAAAAGGCGCTGCTTTTATTGTTCAGTGTTCACAGTTTCAGGCCTCAGCCTCGACGCTTGTGGCGGGCTACCAGGCCAAAAACAAACGTAGTCACGGGAGCTACTTAGCGTTAGCTGCTTTCCGAGATAAGTATGTTTAATGAGAATCCTTTTCCAGTCGTTTAAACGGTGTTGATTGAAATACAATTTTTGGGGGGAAATGGAAACGTGCGTGCAAAGTGAAATGTGCAATGGAGAAACTTAATTGTATTTAGCGGCTCTGCAGATTGTTAGCTCCGTGCATCACTAATGTGTGCGGATGGTTTTAGAGGGGCAGAGCTCACATTCACCAAAAAGGCTTTTTTTTTTTTTTAAATAAATTGAAGGTACACACACCTCTGGAATTAAACACTTTGTGATACTTAAAGTTATTTAACTTTATTATTTAACCAATCCCAAACTGGGAAATTTTGGCATTACAGCAGCAGGTTATCCAACACACAATATGAGTAAAAAAAAAACCACAATGTTAGCAAATCTAAACATAATATAATGTTAAATACAAAGTAAATAAGTACTAAAAATATCAAAACTAAGAATGTGAATATATACAACCAGGATTAAACTAAGCATTACTAGTCTTAAATAGGAAGATTAAATTTGGAAGATTAAACTTACATGTGCAAAAACAGAATTGTAAATGGTTGTAAATTAAATATGAAAGATTAAATGTAAATGTGCAAAAACAGAGTTGAAAATGGTTGTAAATTAAATATGAAAGATTAAATGTACATGTGCAAAAACAGTTGTAAATTAAATATGAAAGAGTAAATGTGCAAAAACAAAGTTAAAGTGCATGAGTGTAGACTTATAAGCAGAAGCTATACAATATAACGGTGAGTAGACAGCCAAATGAAGTGAGCATGAGTGCAGGGATAATTTGTAAATTGAACATGTGCAGAACAGATTACAGTAAAGGAGAGACAGATATTATCATGATGACAGTTCTCTGCTCGTAAGAGGTGAGCTGTTGTACAGAGTTATGGCCTTCGGTAAGAAAGATTTCTTGTATCTGTCCTTGTGACAGCGGAGTTGTATCTATCTGAAAGTCAATCTATTATAAGTGGAAATTATAAGTAGGAGCTGGTTTCTGGAGTTTGCCATAGAAACCATAGACTGTAAATATTAAACCCTCTGACAGAAGGCATGTGAGGAGCACAACTAGGGGATTTTTAACTGCAATGTGAGGCCACAGTTCATCAGGTGGGCGCTGCTTTGGCTGTATTGGTGACATGTTTGACTGTTTGTACAGTCAGCAGTGTTAAGGTGTGCGAGTTACCTATTACACTTACCCACACAGCCCCTCAGTGACTACTAGTGAGAAAGGGCCCATGATTGATAAGTGACTTTATTGTTTTGACCTACTTGATTGTTTAGGCTACATTTAGGGACATTAAGGGATGTGTTCGTACGTTACTGAGTCATTTTCTAAATTATTTGAGCTTTATTTTTTTTAAGTGACAGCACTTGACTTTAAACTTGTTCATTTCTCCTGAAAAACAGACTATTTTGAATGGGCGTGTATGTGACTGCGGTTGCTTCTGCAGCAAGCCTCAAGCGGTCAACAGCAAACTGCAGGGTTTTGCACTTTCACATCGGCTTCATTTTTCATTTACTACACATACCCCTCGGATTGAATGCTTTGGTGTGGTCAAATACGCAGAAAATATGACTAAATAGTTTTATAATAAGACAAATGTTAAGAGATAATTTAAATAAGTACTTAAAGGTATATGATTATATGTGTAATAATCTTGACAAGAAATGTATTTAAAATATGCAGCTGGAAAGTGACAAATGTATTGCTACAGTTTTGGGGGGGGTTTGTTTTTGTATGTCTGACATGTCACACATGTTTGAACTGTTGCCATCTTGTTTTACAGGAAGCTGACTACCCAGTTCATGAGCAGATCGACCTTTATGATGACGTAATTTCCCCATCAGCCAACAATGGTGATGCTCCAGAAGACCGTGACTACCTGGACACACTGCCTTCACCTGGTGGCACTGAGGGAGGAAAGAGTGCTCCCCCAAATGTGGTTTACACCTACACAGGCAAAAGAATCGCCCTGTACATAGGAAATCTCACATGGGTGGGTGTCAGATAATCCTCATATGATGCTAAACTGCAGTACATAAATAGAAACAACCAGTAAAAACTGTTCTGTGAACGAGGCATCAACAACTGAGTTTCCAAGTTATCAGCAAGATTTAAACCTCTGTCAGCTTATTATACTAATACTGTTTTCTCCTATGCAGTGGACGACAGACGAAGACCTTACAGAAGCCATACGATCAATAGGTATCACAGATGTGCTGGAGATCAAGTTTTTTGAAAACAGAGCCAATGGACAGTCAAAAGGGTGAGGCTTTTAATATGTATTTATCACATGGCCCGAACTAGATGTCAAAAGTTCAGTGCAGTCACTCTTGCTTCTTTTCTGAATCCGATTGTGTGTCCTCTGCATTGTCGTTTCCACAGGTTTGCACTGGTGTGTGTCGGCTCAGAGGGATCATCCAGGAAGCTAATGGAGCTGCTGTCAAAGAGGGAGCTCCATGGTCAGAATCCCATTGTCACACCATGCAACAAACAGTCCCTCAGCCAGTTTGAGATGCAGTCACGCAAAAGTAAGTAAAACATTTTGAATTGCTTTCAACAAGAGATAGATAATGAACATTGATTTTCAAAAAAAAGACAACATTGGTGACAAGGGAGTGACAATTAGGGATTTTGATGGTGCAATTATAGTCTGAGAAATGTTCACGGTGTCACGATTATAATGCATGAATGATTTTAACATTGATTCAAATTATTTTTAAAATAACTAATGTAGAAAATCATGCAAACAGTATTTAGGAATTTAAATTTGTTAACTGTCGCTGCCTTTTGAAACAGAAATAACGTGATCAAACAATACAGTGAAAAATAATTAAAGTTCAACCAAAATGTAATGAATGATTAAAATATGAGTTTGTTTTTTAATGTAAACTTTAGTATTTGCGTTATAATCAATTATCATTACTATAATAACACTAATATTACATTTCCTCATGTAATAAACTAAAGTGTTGTTTTAAACTGTCATACATGACTACTCTTCTATTTTTAATAACAATAATCTATTCTTACATGCAACCTGCTTTTAGTAGAAATTATGGAAAGAAATTGAGAACATCCCTGATACAGTTTTAATAAATACTCAATTACAATAGATTAAATCCCATGGTAGAATACAAGCTCCTGATGTTATTAGTGACTAGAAGAATGACAAGAAACTATGTTAAACGGTCACTGACGGAAGTCCTTCACAGTAGATGAAATGAAACATTACTTAGAATATGTCTTTATTAGAATATATCTGTATTGTCAATGCTGTAATAACAACGAAAATCAGTTTGGCAGCTTGTCGACAGTGGCAGCACATACAGACAGACAGTAAAAATGATAATGTAGCATTAAAATCACATCATAATACTTAGGACTACTGCTGTTTATAGTGCACTGAACGCCAAACGTTCACCGCTACTTCATGGATTGTTAGAGATGCCCTTACATGTTATTTTCGACCGACTCAATGTTTTGTTAAATCAACGTGCCACTGACGTATTCTCACTCAGTTAATTGTGTTGGCCTTTACTTGATCATCTAGTGCTGGATAGAGATTCCACAGATGCTGCATCAGGAATGTCTTTGACACCTTGGTCGCAACTTTTTTCTGGCAGGTTTCACAGTCGGTGGATCTAATGTGTAGAAACACTCCATGGTCATTCTTGGTTTACCTGAAGCGCCCCCACACTGCCGACTTCACTCGTTTCTTTTGTCTCTTGCCATTTCGCCTTTCTCTTGATAAGCATGGCAGATATAGCTGATGCACCAGGTGTCACTTTGTTTTGTTCATGCAAGTTGCGGTAAAAATAATGTCCCGCCCCCCTTTAGCATTAATACATAACTGAGTTAGTGGCAAGTTGCTTGATGAAACATCAAGTTGGTCGAAAATGAATGGGGTGTTGAAATCAATCGTTTCCATCAAACCACGAATCTGCATTGAAGCAATAATGGAACATAATCAATTGACCAGGGTTAGAAATAAGCCCCTACTAAATAAAGGCAGTTTTTTTGTCAGCAAGTAAGTTAGTGCTGCACAATATGGTGAAATTAGTGTTGCGATTTGCTGAAAAATCAATAGTATTATGAGCGTACCTGCTTGGTTGTCAAGGATCGTGCCGTTCCTACTGTTCAACATCCATGTTGGTCACTCTGCGCGCTGGAAAGTCATGCAACCATTCAAACATGCTGCGCATACATACGTGGCGCGTAGATAAAAAAATAAAAATAAAAATCCCCAGCCAAGTATAGTTTCACCGAAATAATAATTAGTGTTTTTGGTTGACATATAATTGAATCAGTACATTTAATTGAGTTAATAAGGAACTATAGCTGTTGGATCAGATCACACATTATATTTAGATAATTTTATCAAATTGAGATATTGTGTAAATATACCACCTTTATTTTCTATAGAGGTGGTGGTGCCAAGGCCAGCCCTCTGGAACCACCCCTACATTACCATATTACAAACTCAAATCAAAAATCCATCTGAATAATAAAATTGGCTTATATCTACAAAAACATAGAGTTTTTTCTCAGGGCGACGTATAAGGGAGAAAAGATTCTGAGGGCCCATGACTTAACAGGGGCCCTAACAAATATTATAATATTTTTTAAATAATTTTAATTCATTTAAAATTATATACTTATCAACGTAAGAGAAGGCTATCTTCACAGTGTGCTCATAACTATATCTGTTTCATTGTATTTCCCTGTTTGTTTGTTGTTTTTTGTTAAAAAAAAGTAACATTCAGCCAGCTTCAGTATTGCTTAACCCCCCCTCTTTGTTTACATTAAATGGTTCGGTCCTGTCTGGAAACCTGGCGCAGGTGAGGAGTGCTCTGAAAAAAAGGTGAGCACAACAACTCACACAGTTTGAGAATGTTTTAAGATAAAACCAGCTATTTGAGTAATTCAGCCAAAAATGTTGTTTGGATCATATTTGCGTTTGTGTATAAATTTATCATATTAATCATTTCATATGACCCTTTTCTTTTCTTTTCTTTAAATATTACATTGCGCTAATCACAGTCACTTTGGAGCAGTATTTTGTGCCAGTGAGCTAGCATAACATCTCTAGATTCATGATATAATGTTGCCACGCCAGCATAAAAAAACAAACGCCCCTTGATGAGAACAAAACTTTAAACCTCTAAAGATTCAGTTAGAAGCGACAACATCCTGACAAGTGAACACACAGTGATTTTTTTAAATATCTTTCTCTGGTGAGTTTAGTATCGCTTAAATTTGTTTAAGAGGGAAGGAGGGGGCGATGTCAAGTGTGAACATGGGATTATGTGCGATCACAAAATCAAACACTTTCTAACAGAATCCTTTATGATTGTGATGACTCTGACATAAGCTCATATATTCTTTTTTGAAATTAATAATTTTGCCTCTCAGTTGAGGTTGAGTGACAGATAACAGACATACCTGCAATAGAAACATTTACCAGCCTTAAGATAATAAACTAAAATTCTGTAACATTTTTTTCTGTTTATTAGCAAGATCAGGTGCATGTCAGTATTTTCTTTACTACTTTAAACATTTCCCTTCAAACAGAAATACTATTATTTAATACTATATTCCTTGATTATAATATTCATTTCATTATTATTAACCTGGTACTGACATTGCTTGTAGATTTTCCGGCTGCTGCTGGAGTGATAAAGACGTTTATGTTGACATTGATTTCCAAAGCACTGTGTAATAATAAGACAGGGACTACATATTTATCTGATTGTTCGTCTTCATTGATGAAAAAACCGTTTAAGGTTTGACTTTAGATTAACGCCAACAAACAGCAGTAACACTGCATGTCGTCAATGGAAGAAAAAATAGTACTCTGAAGGGTTTCAGTCAGTGAACGTTTAAAGTTTCTAAAGTCTGCGTGGCATTGTAAGTTAATATACCAGGAGGAAAACTACCTAACATCAGGAGCTTGTAGACTTCCAGCAACATAGCATAGATTTAATATATTATGCATGACAGATGTTTGCAATCATTAAAAACATATATGAAGTTGATAACAACACACGTCAAACAAAAATCCCCTGGGGGATCCATGAAGTCCATCTAAGTTTAAAAATGAATAAATTAGTTCAGTAAGTTTAAAATACTAGATTTGAAATATAAGATAAAAAAAACAATTTGTTATTTTAGTTTATCTTTATTTTTATTTTTTACTGTATTATAGATCATTGTGTTATTTCTGTTTCAAAAGGCAGCAATAAATGACATTAAAATGTCTCAAGAATATCCATGTGATTTGATACATTTATAATGTTATAAAATGAATTCATACATTAAAAAAGGGGAAACCGAGGTTATTTCTCAGACTATAAACGTACCATCCAAGTCTTTAATTGTTGCTTCCCTAGTGTCCCTCTGCCATTGTAATGCTAATGAGGAGTAGCCTCCATGACTCTTGATAAGCACGACACATAAAAGTGGTAAACCAGATATCACTTGGTTTTTGTTCTGTTCAGATTGCGCCAATTATAATTAATCCACAGTGAGGTTTTAAACTGTGGTTAATAGTGTAAAACAGTTAACCACTTATCACCCTATTGGTGATATATTTTATGTACAGTCATACGCACATGTATACTTAACACAATATTGACACAGATGGGCATACATTTGCAAAAATGCACCAGTTTTTATTTATTGTGTACATACATGTATATATATATCTATGCAACGTATATGTTGTCTTTGTTTTAAACAGGTACCCAGTCAGGCCAGATGTCTGGGGAAGGTAAAGCTGGTCCCCGGTGCTGGTTCTAGAGGAGGTTTTCCAATGGGACGAGGCAGAGGAAGGTTTCCTGGACCTCCCGGCCAGGAGGAGACCGCTTCCCTGGACCTGTTGGTCCTGGAGGGCCGCCACCACATTTTCCTGGTTAGTTTTGCATCACCTCTTTCAGTCTCTCTTTAATTGGAAGATGACTTTACAAAAATGCAGAAATCTGTTAAAATTTGTAACTATACACCTCAAATTATCAAACCATATCTTAATTAGCCCCAGAAATCAACTGTAAATTGCTACTCTTAATTTTTACAATATTTTTATCTCGCATGTCAGGGGAGAACAATCAAGTTTTTGCATTACCAGACTAGGTGAATTGATGGTAGCGAACGTTAAAAATATGTCTGAGTACATCTCAACTGGAAAACAAGCTTGATTTCCTTTCCAATTCCATAAAAGTCAACACTCAACAGCAGAGTTAAATAATCGATGGATGCATTTGTGATACGGATACATCTTGAAACGAACAGTTAGGCCACTTCAAATTTGTAACCTGCCATGTGTCTCGATCGGTTTAGTGGTCGTGCTCTATCATTTGTTGAGGTTTATGGGTTTGTAATTTCCTTTATACGCGTGTATAATTAAATTTGATAATGTTCTCAGGCATTTGTCATATTTTTTAACATTAACTTCCCAGTGCAATACAAAATCATCACCAGTATGCCAGGTTCCTTGGAAAACATGAGATTAGTTAGAATTTAGCTTTCTGTCTGGCAGTGCTGCTCTTTTAGCACAGGCCAGGATGTGCTAATATTCTCACCCGCATGAAACCAAGGCTAGTCTTGTGTTGTGTTTCTCTTGAGGGATCACTCATGAAACTCTCCTGGCAGGGCTGTGTCTTTGCATGTTTCCTCCCCCCACTGCTTTGTTCTTTCCTTGTCTCTCTTCACCTCCAGCTAAACAAATAATCCTTTCTCAGCTGCAATTTTGTTCTCAGAAACACCATTGCTTGAAAAGCTTTAGTTATCAAGCTTTCCGCCTTACATTCCTTGCAAATCGTGGATTGGCCGTCTTTCACTTGCAGGAGGGAACATAATTGCCAACTTTTCTCTTTTTTCTTTATTATTTGAGCCTTTTTTCCCCCCCTCCATCCCACCTTTTTCTCCTCTTTCGCTTAGTGGCTGATGCCCTGTGCTGCAGGGAAAGCCCTCAGTTAGTTGGCGGGAGTTTATTAAGGGAAGACTTGTGATTGGTTTGCTTTCTTCCCCATTAGGCTCGGGGATGGGACCAGATCTGATTAGGCACCAAGATGGCCCTGATGGATATGAGTTTCAATCCTTCCCGCCGGGGGGCAGGAACGGGAGCTGGCGCGGCAGAGGTGAAAAACCTCGATTGATTTGCTCGATTGCCTTTTTATCCTAACTCTCGGCTGTTTACTGGTAGGAGTTGTGCCATTGACTCTGTCTGGTTGAACGCCCAGAAACAGCTGAATTATAAACTCACTAAATCCTTTTAAAGAAAGATCCATAAAGTGCTTTTTGTCTTACTCAAAGCAAGCAGACAAGCAAAACGTCTCTAAGACTGAAGAGGTTAAATCACGAACGTTTTTAAGACAATCCTTCATTCTGCCTACTCAATACTTTTATTTTAAGGTTGCTTTAAACTTGGTTAAATACAAACAGCCTTTTCAGATTATGTATGAAATGGTTCCTCTAAAATTATTTTGTGCAGCTGCTAGGGGGATTTAAATCAAATGTGACAACCAAAAAAAGCCTTTCTTAATCAGTATATGACGGTATCAAGCTGAAATCAGTAATGTGTTGA